CTGACACGGGAGCATGCGCGGCTCGTTCAGTTTTTCCAAACAAATGCTGCATATTACTAAATCTTCTAGAGCTGCTAAGGATTCATCTCTAAAAAAAAATAAAAAAATTTAGTCGTATTTAAGATAGTTCGATAACTTATTTCTAAATTAAAAGACTACTTTGGAAATTAACTAAGGTCTTACTCGACATTATCTCTGTCATGAAGTCCGACTCTGTCTAAGCACGCAACCGATTCGTGATAGAAGCAACGCTGACGTATGGAAACAGCCGGCCCGGGTCTCGAATACGACGGAATGTTTGCCGCTAATGTACTGGAAGCGACTGGAATGGCGGATAATGCCGCTTAGTCATAAAAAGGAATGTTCGAGAGTCTCCCGTATCTTCCAGTAGCGGAGTTGGATTAATATAAATAGTCGACGTATCAGCGCCGAGTTTAGTTGAATATAGAACGTTGTATTGAAAAGTAAAAGTGTAAGAAATAAATTAGAATTGTTAGTTAGTGTTCAAATATTATGTAAATTAAATAGTACGTCTGAAATAAATTGTAAATAGTGTGTTTTTAAATAAATAAACTTTAAATAAATTAGACTTTCGTTACATCTCTATGTTTCTAACAAACTATGTACATTAACTATCCTCACTGTACGAACTAGAAAGGTTTTATCCTCTTGAGCCTTCTCCCCCAGCGTGCTACACTGTCAAGGAGCTGGATGGCTTCAATGTTATCATGATGAAGGAGCCGTAGTTCGTAACTCTGTATCTTGGTTCTGACTTGAACAACGGTATTCATTTTTAGGTCCCGTTGAAAGTTCTGGTTTTTCACGTACCATGGCGCATCTAAAGATGTTTCTCGGTATTTTGTTTTGCGACTGGAGTACTCTCCCAAAACACTAACACCAAACTTAGCTATTCAATCGGAACACATACGTCAGTATTTCAGGCCGAGTGTAATACAATCTTGCAAAGTGAAATAACAAACAAAGAGAGAAATACCGAAAAACAGCAGATCTATATTAAAGTAAGACGGCCAGGCGGCCCTCAAGGTCATATCGAGTCGAAGTCGAGGCTAGTATGATATTGCACCTAAGAACTGATAAGAGTACTGGCAGACAGAACTAGAGTAAAAATATTGACGAACTTGAAAAAAGAGCCAGAAGAAATAATCTAATCGGATATAAAGTTTGGAGTACCAAAAAGTACAGTATGAAAACCATGTTAAAAAAGAACAGGAGAATTACTCTATGTGAATAGGAGTCAGTTGAAAACAGAGATAACGAGAAGATGTAACTACTAGCAAATATCGTGCGGCCCTGAATAAGACATATCTAAGGGACACAGACGGGTATAATATCCGCTGTTGTCATATTAGTAGAGTGTATGTATTAAAATATTCGCTCTAGAAAACGATTTACCTCCCACTCTTTTGTCACAAGCTGAATTTTTCAGAGATGAAAGGTCATGATAAGGTAACACTTATTCCGGAGGTAGTACAAAATTAGACTGTGCAGAAGGGCACTATCATCAAAATCCAGATATTGATACCACCGAATGGAGAAAAAATACTAATTTTTTGGTCAAATGCACAATAAAATCTTTGTAGGGAGTAATTGTTTATACTTATTTAAAAAAAAATAGATTAGCCCTTACGGCCGAAAAAAATATAAACGTAAATATCTCGGTTACAGCCCTTCAAAAATTTGGTTAAAAAGTCGTCTTTTTTAAATATACCACTCATTTAACAAAAAAACGAAGGCCTAAATGAAAAAAAAAATCTTAATAAAATTTTTGCTTATGTGTTGACAAGGTAACAGAGTAAACACCATATTTTTTGCTTTTGAATTAACAGAGATATAACAATAAACGATGAGAGGTGTCAGGTTTACGCTGTAAGTAATTCTCACCGCCAATTTCATTTACTCTCGGTGTATCTTTCTCTTCATCTTCAAATGTAGCATAGCTCTGTTTCTCTCTACGTGCAGGCTGATGTATCACATTATTGATATGGTAATTTTTTTTTCATTTTTTAATTATAAAACTTCTCGTTATGTTCCAATCATGTTCCAATGGGCAATGTGTCATATTGTTATCTGTTTTTATTAAATAATTAATAAGTGTATGTGCTATATATTAAATTACCTAATTCATGCTTTATATACTTCCTTCCAATTATTATTATTATAATTTATTTATATTGGGAATTTATTGTATTTTGCAAAGCAATTGTCTTACTGCTTATAATCGATACTTATATATAGGTACTGTATTTATACCTTCAATAAATAATTTATATTTTCTAATTTTTCATTTTCCTCCAAAAATAAAAAAAAATCTTGAAGTAATTAATATACCCTATTATTCATAGTGGATAAATCAATAATCCCCTGTATAAAATAATATAAGAGAGTCAAACTGATTGCATACACTTCAACACTGAGAGAGACATGCATAGAGAGTCGAGAGACTCTGCTTTCTAGTAAAACCATGACATCACTAATTGTTTATTGCTATATTTTTGTTAATTTAAATATGGGGAAAGCACTGTTACCTTGTCAATCCATAGGCGACACTTTTATGAAGAATGGTTTTTTTTTTCATTTAGGCCTTCGTTTTTCGTCAAATGAAAGGTATATTTATAAAAGAAGATTTTTTTATACAAATTTGTAGACGGTTGAAACCGAGATATTGACGTTTAATTTTTTTTTCGACCATAAGGGCTAATATAAATGATTTTTTAAAATAATTTTAAAAAATACTTTCTACAAAGACCTAACTCGATTTTTATGATAGTGCCCTTTTGCACCGTCTAATTTTGTATTATCTTGTGCTTGTGACACCGAAGTGGGAGGCAAAGTCAAAATAAGTTTTAATCAATACCATACTATATGCCTATTTCACTATTCTCGTTTTGTTTACAAAATTATTTACATATATTTAAAAAACTAAAATAATTCAACCTATTTTGTTGCAATTGAACCCAAAAAATTTTGAATATTAGTTATATTAAATTTAACTAATTAGGTGTAATTTCACTAAATTAGATGTCATAATTTTCAATAAATTCCAAAACCTAGTGATGTTAGATTGGAAGTGGCAACAGGGCTTACACCGGCATGAAAATTCACGTTGTGTATTGTAAGCGCGCCAGCGGCTTACACATTTTTCATTGATAAAACTGCATAAAATTCTTCTCTTTATCTCTTCTCTTACTTCTCACCTTTCGTTGCCTCGCCCCGCGTCTAGAAATAGAATGTATTGATTGTCGAATTAATGTTGGCATTGTGAATATTATATTTTATCAATGACTGCTTATATCTCTGTTATCTCTGATTTAAAACAATAACATGACTCATGCATGATCCAGTAAAGGGACTTATGAACAGGAAAGGCGTGTACAATTAAGACCTATTATGTCAACTATGTCGCATGGAACCATAAACAACCAAACATATACTGTGGGACTGCGAAACATTGAATCGCAGGAGAGCCTATAGAACACGTCCAATCTAAGACCTGAACAAACTTTTAGAAGACCTGTATAATTTTGTACAAGGAACACAGATGACATAGTAGGTACTATGAGTAATTTAACATAATAAACCATCCTAGCTACCACATAAACATTCCCGTCTACGTTAATAAGCTGAAATTCGGGAATCTTTAAACTCCCATTTGATGTTCTTTTAATGTAACTATAACATCCATGGAATCTTCGAATGTTAACTATAGGAGTTTCGTATGCACCTATCTCCTTTCGTAGAGGTTGCGAAGGGTAGTTCAAAAATCATCACACTACTTAACAGTTTTTCTGTACTTTCTCCTCAAAACTTGTTCCGAAATGTTTTATAAATGTCCCCTAATTTGAGTTGGTATTATTCAGTACGTTAACTTTCCAACACTGACTCCAGGAGAACGTTATAGAAAAACAATGCTGTTGAATAGATATAAATAATCGACTACATGCTTGCAATCAGGGCAGGACAGGTAGGTGAATCGCGAGTTACTCTCTTTATGCCACCAAATGTTTTACAAATATGTTTGATTATGGATTTCCAAGTGATGCAGGACTTTTTATAAATTTATTTTTTTTTGTGATTATATGATACTCAATATTGCCTAATTACGTCTACGTATTATATTCGGTGTAGATATTATAGCCGATTCTCTTGCCTACTAATTTTCAGACCCTTTTTCTTCAACTTGTCTCTCCACTGATGATCTAGCCTGTAATTTAAGTATGTTTATCTCCTCAAATAGCTAACAAACAAATTAATCAATACTGAATATTGATACATCTTCACCTCGAGTTTTTTTCGCACACATTATTTGTTTGCAGGATCCGTAACTTGCCATAATTATGATTGTATTTTTATCCTCATCCACAATTAGTGACATAATAAGCCACAACGAACGAATTATCGCCAAGCTTAAGCCTTAGGGGTCCTTGAGATGTACCTACTAAGTTTATAGCAGGAAGGTCTAAACGAAATACATTTAACCTCGACAAAACGTTCACTGTTTTTCAGTCTAAACTTAGTCATGGTATTAATTTTCATGAGCTTCTTTATTTTAGCATCCTAGAAGCTGCATCCTTAAATTCTGCTACTTTTGAACAATCCCTTCTTATTATACATTACTTCTTTGATCACTACCATGGTTCTTTATCTATAAATTTATTAGCTGACTGTTGCTACTATAACTTCATCCTTAATTAATTGATTATAAGAAGGTATGCTGTTGATAAATCTAACAATTTTTTTGCTTAAACTATCTCGTCGAATACATATAACCCGCCAGAGTTGGGTAGTATCCATACAGTATCCGGATACTTTATGTGTATCCGAAACCTGTATCCGGATACTTTTCAAATTTTGTTTCCGGTATCCGTATCCGTGGACCAAATTTGTAAGTATCCGGATACCGGATACTTTTAAATTATTTACCACAATCGTAACTGATCCAATCCATATTATCTCTATTAAAATATATAATCGAAATACTTTGAGCTACCCTGTATAATTAGAAATAAAATACGTATTTTTTCAATATTACAATATTTAAGAAACAATTTATACCTACTAAAATAAAAAATAGTAAAATAATTATTTTATTATGATTTGTAGTTTTTTTGGTGCACCCTGTAAAATTTAAAATAACGCAAATAAATGTCTCATCGCCAAGGATGAATTCGACGATTCACCCACTATACAGACGGTTGGGATTCAGCATCTTGCGGCACGTTTTTTACAGGAAAATCCTGCAAACCCTTGTCCGGTGTTAGCGTCACGAACTTGTGGAGGTTCCATTAGCCCAGTTATGTTTCAGTTGGCAAAGACAAGAGACGGTTGTTCCTGTGTTTTTATATAGTGCAATTATAACTAAGACTTTCTTTATCAGTTTTAGTGCCTAACTATACGCAAAAGTAAGTAGGTGTAGGTACCTCGAATTTTTTGTTTTGTAAAATGTCTAATTACATTATTAGTTCTTAAAATGTAAACGAGAAATACATGTATGACGTTGTTGCTCATAATGTTACTGATCATGTATTATTTATGTCGTCATCAACATCAATAAAGTATACAGACCTGACAAGATCAAATATACGAGCCTGCTTTGCCTATGCCAGAACGAAACATTCAGCAATCTCTCACTCCTCCTTTCGACGCTCTCGACTCTACCAAATCCTCTGTGCTACCAAGTACCTCTCGTCGGAGGATCCACAAAAAATGGATTGTCGAATACATCTGACACTGACGAGAATATCGAAAGGTTGTATAAACATGGCAAGTCGCATCAACAACGAGCTTATTTCGTTAAATTTATATGGACAAGACACTGGCTGGTTTTTGGTGCGGTTCAGGCGCGACTCGTTTTATTTACACGCACCTTTATGTTTTATTGTTCATTTTGTTTTAATGTTTTATATTCACAGAATAAAAATAATAATAATTTTCGATAATTTATTTATGCCTAGTATTGTTTATTGTTACTCGTAATCAATCTTATTGCATAATTATAACTATTGGTATGAAAACATTATTTTAACTCACTTTAAAAGTATCCTTTAAAGTATACGAAATAAGTATCCGGATACTTGTATCCGAGTACTTTTTAGGTGAAAGTATCCTAAAAAGTATCCGGATACATTGTAAGTATCCGTATCCGGTACTCGGATACTTTTTCCTGTATCCGACCCAACTCTGTAACCCACCCAAATATACTAATCTTCATATCAGGCGATTTCATGCCATTTCTCAAGGAACTACTTTTTGTCTATTCGCTCCGTGCGAAGTCATGGAAAGGGAAGCAAAAGCGATACTAGCGCTAGCTGCGGATAATTCGTGCATTTTAGGGCGATATTTTGTAATTTTGGCATATCAAATACACGTATACATTTTACTTTTTTCAAAAAAGTAGGTGAAAACAATACAGTAAGCAACCGGAGTTGCTGTGTTGAAAATTGTACAAATACTAGCAAAAAAAAACAGTGAAACTTATATAAAAAATTTCAGTAGCAAAGTAGAAATTAAATCAAAGAAATAAATGGATAGGTGTACAATAAGAAGAAAAATTACCTTTATTTTTGTAATAATAACAGTAATGCTGGAAATAGTAGACATCAGAAACTTGAAAGGTTTTTAAATAAACTATCCCCTTTATTCTTAAATGTTCATTCAGCAAGGACTAGATTTCAAGATTGATTATTATTATTATATGTGGCTGGAATACAATTTTGTACTTATATACTGATGGGAAACCAGTTTTATCATTCATTCTATGTTCTGTTTTCAACAAAAATGAAAATATAAATAACGATCCTTTTTTTATACATTTTAACTTCACGCTATTAGGCATTCCAACAACCTGTCCAAATGGCTACCAGTGGGTAATGACAGTTTAGATATGGCAACCCTGTTGTCAAGTTGTCATTAACAGGGTCAATGATACATATATAGTTATATAGATTGCTCAAAGCTGGTCGTTTACGAGCGGCCATATTGCCTGGCAAATATTTATTAATTTAAATCGGTTTAGCAAAAATGTGTTTTAAAACCAATTATTAGCCTTTAGATATTTAAAAAAAATAATTGCTTACATTTTTACTTCAAGGCATAAGCTTATGTTTATTTTGAAAAATATGAATGATCAATCTATGTAACTATTCTATTTCATTGACCTTGTCAAATCACCAGGCCTACAGGGTTGCCATAATTTTGCCATATCATAACCCACTGGTAGCCATTCAGTTTGGAATGCCTAATTATTAAATGGTATTTTTTATTTTGACAGAATAATTCTTCAATGACAACTTATTAGACTTAGGCAACTTCTTATACATTTTCCAGTAAATATTGTTGCCTGCCTATATTTTATTATTCATTTTATTGATTATACATAATTTTCTTTAATTTAAGAGATAAAAATATATAATAATAATAATAAATTAATGTTTTACTTGTTTTACAAATCCATATACTTTTATTAAAACTAACATATATACTTTTTAATTACGAATTCTATTATTAAAAATTGCATTTGTCAGTATACGCAGAAATAGTCCATTAATACCAAAAAGGAGTTGGCGCTGCTGTCGCGCACGGAGCGAATAAGCCGAGAAGCGACAGCTTGGTGTTTTTAGTGTACCGTTTTGTAACGCGCATGTGCGAAAATAAGTTGTGTATCACTCAAAATGATGTTATCTGTCAAAGTCAGTCCAAGTTGTGTTTAGTACGTGAGCAATGTTAAGTGATATTTTTTGGTGTTTGTTTTGTGTAGTAATAAGATGAAGACTTTTACATACTTAGGTATTCTAATGCAGATATAAAATGTGCCAAAAAAGTTACTAGGAAACTAAGAATTTTATCACATGCATAAATATTAAGTATAATGATTTAATAACTTTTGACATTTTATTTTTCATATGTAGGTGTTTCAATTAGGATTGGTCAAAATGGGCGAAATCCCTTTATTATGGCTAAATTGTAAGGTACAATTATGTCAATATAAAGATGTTTTGCCCATTCATATTTACATTTATTGAATGAATCATACTGGAGTTGATTTTGGAAATATTGGTGCATACTTAAATAAGTACTATTTCAAAAAATTCGTCTATGCCCAGACAGCACACATAGTCCAATGTACGTCCACTTTAGATCTATTTGAGGGTCAGAACGTCCATATCCGGACATCCAGTGGACGTCCGTTTATGCTAATTAAATTGACAGCTGAATATTGATACCCAGAGAGCGTCTGTTTTTGGACTTAATTTTAAGTTTAGTAGTATTTTGACGTCCAGTGGACGTCCATCTTAGGTCATTATTTATTAAGCCTACCAGATAATACTCATCTATAATATATACTTCTTTTTTTAATATAACTGGTCATTAAAAATTGACAAATTGAATCTATTGCATTTCATTCTATCAGCGGAAGTTTTAAATCTTATTCAATTATAACTGTATCTAGTAAAAAGTTTTCAAATGGTTCCTTGGTCGAGCTCGTCTAGCGATTGAAAGGGTAAAACGATAATGGATGTGTCGTAAGTTCGATGCTTGTTCAGGTCAAGCGATTTTTAATAAAAAATAAATAAATGGTGTATAGCGGTTTGCGAAAATAATAAACAAATTAATAATAATATAAAATAGTGTGTGGTAAGTTGCGGTTCTGTAAAAAAAGTGGGGATGTGGTCTCAATGGAAATATAATCCTGGACGTTTTTTGAATGTTCAGTATTCGACGTCCAAATATATTTCAGAATTGAACGTCCTCTGAATGGTCAAAAGTGTGCCATTTGTATACTTCACTGGACGTCTATTGGATGTCGGAAGTCCAGAAAAACTCATTCTTGGACGTCTAGACATCCAAAATTGTATATCGAATGGACGTCCAATGGACATATTTGTATTGTCTGGGTGATAGCCAGGCCAGATATTAAACTCTAAATACAGAAACCTTAAATGACATCTGGCTTAACTTGGCCAGAAAACACTTGTTTATAAAGAAATGAGTGATAAACTTGAAAGTCCTTTTAATATAATATAAATCCAGAAATTCTAAAAATATGTAAGTACTTTTTAAACTTAAAAGTTTTTGAAAATAAGCACATTGCAAATATTTAGTTAAATATCTCAAACTTAATGTCTTTTTAATTGTTACCTAAATTTTTTCTGGCACCCTTAATTTTATTTACCTTATTTTTACTTAATGAAAAGGTAATTTAATTTAAATATGGGGCTTTTATTACATTTTTAACAATAAATAAACCAAATATTGAACAAATTTTATAGATAAATTATAAAATAATAAACGTCTTTTACTTTTATAATAAATAATTAATTATTACATAATGAATTATATTTTGGTGCCGAAATTTCACCATTGCTATTAACCTTAACTACTTCAATGTAATTAAATCACATTACAACATTTGCGCATGGACTATAACAATGATTTCAGATAATTTGCCAAACTATTTCGCTCAGTGTAGAAAATAAGCATGTTTTCTCAGCGTGCTAAGTTGTGTATCAATCAAAGTCATGCTGTGAAAAAGGTACATCCGATATCAAAGGCACCGACAGCTACTGTCGCTTCTCCTTGATTCTCGGCTATACTCAAACAGGAATCATGACGATTTGATTCAAATATAACTTGATTTTTTCAGTATATAGTATGTATTATTGTATTGATATTAAAAACTCTTAATACCTACAATAATTTACTAGTTACATTATTACCGAAAAATATACGAATTTCATTGTGTAAAATAGTTTTTAAATATGATGTATATGTATCAAATGATTTGATTATAAATACAATAGGTACTCACTTTAGTCCTTTATTCTCAACATTAAGTTTTGGGGGCACTCTTTGTTGTCTGGAACTATCAGTCCTTCTCGCAAATTTTCTGTTATTGGACATTTCAAAATTTATTTTAAATTTACATGAACTACCTAAAAAAAAGTATTTTCGTCGTATTCAATATTATATACCTTAAATTATCTATGATTGAATGATATCTTGATTGATTAAGTATAGCTTATCTGATAGATACTTGAGATTAATAAATCTGTTATTGTTTTGAAAACAATATATAGAAATATATTATTTATACTTGGGAAAAACCATAGATATATAGTGTGTCGCATTTAAGATGAAGACACCCCTATATTTTTTCTATCTAAATAAATACAGATTTGAAGTTTTGCACAGTCATACAGGATGATGGTTCACATTTTTTAGGATACTCAACTGAAATTTAAATTTTAAACGCGGCCTACTGCGAATCCACAAACAGGGTCAATTTTCGATATTTTTTTTCGCGTTAGAGATATCAGAAAAAGTTATTTGAAAAAGTTGTTCCGAATATTATTCTAACCCCACATACCAAATTTCAAGACAAAATTCGCATTTTTAGTTTTTTTTTATTATTTTGGTCAGTACACAAAATTATTAGTTGATTTTGTTTATTCAATAAACTAGTGTGCCATGGAAAGGAATAATTTGACACTTGTGAAATCATTAATGTCTATCAAATTAGACTTTCAGTTTATTACATTGAGTTCTATTTAGTGTAAACCGAATTAATATGCCATTGACTTTAAACGAAAAAATTGAAATAATCCGATTGTTTGGTGATTTTGCTCGTAGTAGCAGAGAAGTTACTGCAGAGTTTAACAGGAGACATCAGCAACGTGCTTACATTACACATGGAAAAGCAGCCGTTATAAATACTATTTTCAATGAAACTGGCAGTGTTATTAAAATCCATCAGAATGGCCAACCTTGGCGAATACACCCTCATCCTGAAGATAACGATATACTGGCGGCAAATCGAGCAAATCCACGCATGATCCTTCGAAATTTATCATCTCTAAAATTAGAAGCCCTATAAACCAAAGTTCTTACATACATTAAAAGAAGGCGATGAGAATAAAAGATTAGATTATTGTTATTGGACCCAAGGTTATTTTTTAAATGACAGGCATTTTCTGGAGAAGATTATGTTTACAGATGAGGCTGCATTCACCACCAATGGCGTTGTATCATCTCAAAATTGTAGATACTGATCCAGAAATAATCCCCACTGGGTTATAAATTGTAAAGATCAATATTCCCAGAAAGTCAATGTCTGGTGTGAAATTTTGGGAGACCAAATAATAGGTCCTTTTTTCTTTAACGAATCATTAAATTCTGGTCGTCTAGTTAACTTTTTTGATGGGGAATTATGGGATGCTATAGAAAATCTTCCTCTCAATGTGCGACAGGATCAGAGTTGGGTCGAATACTGAAATCCGGTATTCGAATACGAATCCTGAATACTGTATTCTAAATTGTATTGGAATAATCAATATTCGAATACAAAGAAAAAAAAGTATTTGAATACCGCTGTATTCGAATACCTGGATTCATTTACATATGAATACTTTATGAATATTCCAACTACAAATAACATATGCGCACATAAAGCTTGATTATTATTTATGTAGTTAATTTATAAAAATATAAAAAGAATTAAAAATCTATGTTAAATAAAACTAGAATCATCATTTTTTGATACACAGTGTCACAGTGAGGTTAAATAAAATAACTGTTTAATAAAAAACATTTGTTAATTTTTATTTCTTAAAGTTTTATTAAAAAGTTATAAATAAAACGATAAAATAATGAAAAAGTTAAAATAAAATTCTTTGGTACACCGTCAGATAAAAACACAAACTTATTGTTTGATAAAAAATAAACAATTCGCATTACCTATAACCTATACCCTACAACCTACTTACTTATACAGGGTGTCCCACGAGATACGCCTCTTACCATAACTCCATAACGGTGCAATTTTCGAAAACTAATTTTAAAAGATGGCTTTTTTTGAATATACATAAAAAAGGACCCTTACAAAATTTTTTAAAATTGCACCGTTATGAAGTTATGGTCCGAGGCGTATCTCGTGGGACACCCTGTATAATAAATAAAACTTAAAATACATTCATTGGAGATTGGAACACAGTAAGGTAACACAATAGAATTGCTTAGCAAAAGAAGCTATCCTTGAAAAATAATCTTGTTTTTGAATACCGGGATTCGAATACCGGGATTCGAATACCGGGATTCGAATACAAAGTGGGTATTCGAATACTAGGATTCAAAAATGGTATTCTGAATCCAAAATACCGAGTACTAACTAAAAAAGTATTCAGTCGAATACCGAATACAGAAAACACAAATGTATTCGAATAGTATTCGAATACCAGCCAAATGTATTCTGAATAAGATTCAGAATACCGGGTATTCGAATACTACCCAACTCTGGACAGGATATGTATTTCCAACAATTCAAGGATTGTTCGTCAATGGTTAAATCAAAAATTTTCTATGCGCTGGATAGAAAGAAACAGTCCTTTTGAACCCTGGCCTCCGAGGTCCCCTGATATTAAACCACTCAATTTTTATTTTTGGGGACTGATAAAAAATAAAGTTTATAAAGCAAGGCCCAGAAATCAAGATGAACTTTGTGCCAGAATAAGACAAGCCTGTCAAGAAATCAGCATCCCAGAACTTAGACGAGTATCCAGACATAATCGTAAAGAATTGAAAAATGTATTCGAATAAATGGAGGACTAGTCGAGCGAGATAACATTTGATAAATTGTCATTTGTACTATGAAAATTATTGTTTTAATTATTTTCTTAAATTTAATCAGTTACCTACTAAAAATTATTGTTTTCTTAAAATAAAATAATTATTCGTTTGAAGAATTTAAATTACATAAATTACAACAAACTGAAAGTCTAATCTGATTAATATTAATGATTTCACAAGTGTCAAATTATTCCTTTCCATGGCACACTAGTTTATCGAATAAAAAAAATCAACTTTTAATAATTTTGTGTATTGACCAAAATAATGAAAAAACTAAAAATGCGAATTTTGTCATGAAATTTGGTGTGTGAGATTAGAATAATATTCGGAACAATTTTTTCAAATAACTTTTTCTGATATCTCTAACGCGAAGAAAAATATCGAAAATTGACTGTGGATTCGCAGTAGGCCGGGTTTAAAATTTAAATTTCAGTTGAGTATCTTGAAAAATGTGAACCATCACCTTGTATGACTGTCCAAAATATAGAGGTGTCTTCATCTTAAATGCGACACACTGTAGAAAGAATTCGGATAAAATTGTTTACATAATTTACAGTGGCAACAATAAATCACATTCGAAAATGAGATGAGGGAAAAGATGCATAATCTCTCGCATACTAGATAAAAATGATTGTTTTTCGTGATTCAGTTTATCATTACTATTTAGTGATATGTAAAAAATCATTGATATTTTGGTTAAATTTTTTGAAAATTTATCTAGATCTTTAAAAAAATCCTATTTTATTCAAATGTGTCATAAAACGTCGTTTTTCGAACAAAAAACATAACAGAAAAGGATAACTTTTAAGTGTACTTCAAATTAACTACTGAAAATTGCTTTTAAGGCCTAGGCCGCAAGAGTAAAGTGCGTCTGCTATCTAAAAATTCAGTGTAATTTTCAATTTACCATTTAATACTGTTGGCGATAATGTGTTTTGCTATTGTAAAATAGTAGTACACAATCCACATGTATATCAAATTTTTGAATAAGAAAATCCAAAAAAACTGTAATTATTAAATCGATTTGACACATAAGCACATTGACATGACAGCTACTGCCGGTAGCACAGGACGTCCATTATATGTCTATTTATCGTCTGTACGTCCAGAACCAATTCTGAACGTTTTAGGTGTCCAGTTTGGTATATCCTCGGGACGTCCAGAAATGGATAACCGTAGAACGTCTAGTCTACGTACTTTATTATATTTCCATGGATTCACAGGATTTTTTTTCATGCTACCTGAAACATTTTTTAATTCATTTTTATTAATTTTTGATTAATTTTTATTTATTAATTTTTATTAATTTTTATTAATTTTTATTAATTTTTATTAATTTTTATTAATTTTTATTAATTTTTATTAATTTTTATTAATTTTTATTAATTTTTATTAATTTTTATTAATTTTTATTAATTTTTATTAATTTTTATTAATTTTTATTAATTTTTATTAATTTTTATTAATTTTTATTAATTTTTATTAATTTTTATTAATTTTTATTAATTTTTATTAATTTTTATTAATTTTTATTAATTTTCATTAATTTTTATTAATTTTTATTAATTTTTATTAATTTTTATTAATTTTTATTAATTTTTATTAATTTTTATTAATTTTTATTAATTTTTATTAATTTTTATTAATTTTTATTAATTTTTATTAATTTTTATTAATTTTTATTAATTTTTATTAATTTTTATTAATTTTTATTAATTTTTATTAATTTTTATTAATTTTTATTAATTTTTATTAATTTTTATTAATTTTTATTAATTTTTATTAATTTTTATTAATTTTTATTAATTTTTATTAATTTTTATTAATTTTTATTAATTTTTATTAATTTTTATTAATTTTTATTAATTTTTATTAATTTTTATTAATTTTTATTAATTTTTATTAATTTTTATTAATTTTTATTAATTTTTATTAATTTTTATTAATTTTTATTAATTTTTATTAATTTTTATTAATTTTTATTAATTTTTATTAATTTTTATTAATTTTTATTAATTTTTATTAATTTTTATTAATTTTTATTAATTTTTATTAATTTTTATTAATTTTTATTAATTTTTATTAATTTTTATTAATTTTTATTAATTTTTATTAATTTTTATTAATTTTTATTAATTTTTATTAATTTTTATTAATTTTTATTAATTTTTATTAATTTTTATTAATTTTTATTAATTTTTATTAATTTTTATTAATTTTTATTAATTTTTATTTATTTTTATTTATTTTTATTTATTTTTATTTATTTTTATTTATTTTTATTTATTTTTATTTATTTTTATTTATTTTTATTTATTTTTATTTATTTTTATTTATTTTTATTTATTTTTATTTATTTTT